ATATATATATATATATATATATATATATATATATACTTTACAAAAAAATCATGAATCCAACTATTATTGCACTCGACATTAACAACTGAAAGATAAAGAATCTGTTTTTTTCAGTATCAAGTTTTACAGTATTTTCATTAATCCAATGGCTTTCCTCCCTGAGCGTAGTGTTGTTTATCTCCATTGGATGGCCCCTCTTCCTGGTGTTTGTAAAATCAACACTGATGGTAGCAGAATCAATTCCTCTGGTCTTATTGGGGCTGGGGGTCTGTTAAGAGACTCTTGTGGGAGTTGGATCAAGGGTTTCTCTGTGAATCTAGGCTATGGTTCCATCATTGAGGCTGAGTTATGGGGGCTTTTTTGGGGGCTTAATATGGCTTGGGATGCTGGGTTTCGCATGGTGGAGATTGAGTGTGATGCTTCTTCTGCTGTGGCTTTGTTAAAAAGTCCTACTGTGTCAACACACCCTCTCTTTAGTATTATCAGTTGTTGCAAAATGAAGATTCATGAGGATTGGTGCTGCTCTGTGAAGCATATTTTCCGTGAACAAAACTATGCTGCGGATGCCTTGGCTGCGAAGAGTTATGATTTTGGTCTGGGCCTCCATGTGTTTGAGGAGGCTCCAGCCTTTCTTAGTCCCATTTTAGGTGATGATGTTCGAGGTCTTGCTAGACCTCGTCTAGTTTCAGTTTAGTTTCTTTTGGTTTGGGGCTTTAGCCCCCCTCTGTACCCAAAAAAAAAAAAAAGAAGATAAAGAATCTGTTTTTTTTAGTATAAAGTTTTACAGTATTTTCATTAACAATAACACTTGTAAGGGGACTACGTTAATTAAGTTTTCATCTACAATCTTCTTGGAGTAGATCTACATACTTGGGCCATGGCCCATGGGCTTGTTCTAACTTGAAGTCCAGTAATGTTTTTTTTTCTTTTAGTCTTTTTAAATTGCCAGAGGTGGAAAAAGAGAAAGGGAGAAAGTAGCACAAAATAGCACTGGCTGTTTTCACTCCAAGTTGCCATCAATAAGTACATCCCTATCTGTATTTACAAACCCTCTTTTTCAGCAAGTAAAAATAAGAGTACAGAAGCAATAAAAGAATGAAAAGAATAATGATAACGATAACCATTACTTGGTGAATACACAAGACTACTCTTACCCAACCAAAAAAAAGAAAAGAAATATTCTCTACAGATATAAGAATGACTCATATCAATCAACATTCTATCATCTCTTGCTGTGTACATGTATGTCAACTGCAAAGCTCAGCACATAGCTGTTGAGCCCGGGTGGGGTTGCCATCCAGCAATGAATAAGTGCCATTTCTCCCGTTGCTTACGCACGTCAAGTTCAGCTGATTTCCTAACTGGCTGGACTGCAAGGTTTGTTGCACACATGCATATACAGAACAATATCTCAGTACAAAACCAATTTACAGTACTAACAAGTTAGTATATAATTAATTTTCCTGCTCTCTATATATAATCTCTCCCTCACTCTGATATGTCCTGATTTTCAATTATTTAGGTGATCTCCAATTCAGTACCCTCAAAAACTCCATTCAGAAAACATTTTCAACACTCATAATGGATCATGGAGTATAACAAAAAGTCACATTGAGGAATGCAGTTTGGCTACATGGAGCCCACATATCTCATCATAATTTTAGTGAAGCAGACACGAGAGCTGAGAACTCTTGAGTATTTCTTGAGTTCATTTCTTAAACTAAGTTTCCTGATGACATTAGCTTAAAATGGCATATTGAGACTAAAGTATTGAGTGCAACCATATAAAACTCCACAAGGGAAAGAAGAGAAGATATAAGGATATATTTACTAGCACTAAAACAGCTGTCTGGTCTACAATTTCTCTTCTATTTACCACTACGTTGGCACATCATATAAGGAACCAATTACTTCTATCTGTCAAATACTAAGGTGGAAGTTAATATGCACAGAAAAAGTGCAGCATCAATTACCAAACAATACATTTGTTGTGACTTGCAGCTCCATTTTGAGGTAGGGACACAGCTCAAATAATGACACCAGGAACAGTAATCATTCAGATTGACCCCTCGAAGGAGAGTAACCATGCCAATAGTAAACCTGTATAAAAAAAACATAAGACTTGTGTGACAAAATGCCCGCATATACTGATGAAAATGAATTTCCATTTCCAATAACAAAACAACAAAGAAGACGAACCCACTATTATATAGTACTATCATCAACGTGACCAATCAGTATTACACATACAGAAAACAAGCAGATATTGAGATTATCAACAGTGACAGTGATGAACACAGATTACAGGACACAACATATCTCTATGAAATCAAGTACCCTGATTTGATTGTAAACATCCACTCATCAAATGTGCCTTTCAAATTCTCATGTAGGGAATCAATTAGGTATATGAAGTCAAATAATTGAATTTCAGGGATCAAGGAGGAGCTTACCCAACAATCAATAGTATCAGAGCGAGAACCCACAATACATATTGATAAGTCTTGTGTTTAGATTTAACTGGAGTTGAAACATGTCCAGGAGGAGCATTCCTTTGGGTAAGCCATTTAAATTGGGGGCGGATCAAAAACACAAATCCAAGAAGAAATCCAGAAAGAAATCCTCCAATATGAGCAAAGTTGTCCACGTGTGGGAGGATTCCCACTGCTAAATTTACAATGACGATGACAATGAGAGTAAGCAATGCTGCTAACTGCGCATAAAAATCTGAACTGTAAGATCAAAGTGTAGTGCATATACTATGAAGGGAATCATTGAGCATACTGAAACATTATTTACCTTATTTTCGTACATTGTCCAATTTGCTATGATCTCTGATAGCATGCTTCCAAGTAGACCAAAAAGTGCACCAGAAGCACCAACAGAAATACCATATTGAATAAAAAGAGATGAAAGCAAACTCCCGCCAAAACCAGACAGGACATAAAGCAAACCAATTCGAACTGTAGAAGAACAAATCAGAAAAGCATTAGATTTTCAAACCAAAAAGTAAAAACTGTTGTTCATTAAAATAATTGTGCATGAGTAGATTATTTTCCATCTTCTTCTATTCAATTACCCAGCTCCAACTTTCTTTTCTTTCAAATTTTCCAAATAGGCGGCATCTTGAAATATTTTAAAATATTGAGGCACTGTGTCTACCCTATAGGATAGTCAAAACATTCCATATTCCCACATAAGCGATGGAAAAATCGAAACAACCTCTCAGTTTTTATATCAAGCAGTTTTATTCTGTAAAATGGAATACTATGTCTAAACTACAGTTTGAATAGCCTAAAAAACCAATATCATAAGAATGTTTCTCCGGAACCCATCTTAGGTGTATCAACTCTCTTTGCTCACCTCACCGCTGAATAAAACTTCCTCTTATTTCCATGCAAACCTATCAACATAATGATGTAAGTTATAATGCAACCAGCACCGCATGACCACTACTCTAGGATAACAATTCAATGAATTCATGCACAGGAATCATCTGCAGATTAATCTCAAGGTAGCTGCTTCTAGAGTTCTGAAAAAACAAATTCATTTAGTAACTAATATTTCTCTTGTAATATCTGTCATGTGCTTTCGATTTTACTACAAACACTTGTGAATGTGGCTAAACATCCATGACAACACACATGAAGCTGCAAAGCCAGATGCATACCAAATCCAAATTCTTGCTCAAGCCGAATACCAATGAATACAAGACTCAGCATATTGGCCAGTAGATGGAAAACTCCAGCATGTAACCACATACATGAGATCATCCGCCATGCCTGGTGTTTATGAACCATTCTCTGCACGTCTAGAGCACCCATCTTTTCTAATCTGAAGAATGAAAAAAACATGGGAAAGAAGTTAGATGTGCACATTTTTCTTGTGGATACAACTAAGACCTGTCGACCCACAGAAGATAGCTCTCCCTTAAAGTGCTACTTTTAGCAGTTAATAGACTTAGGATGGTGCGTATTAGAATTAGTTGCCTGGTGTTTATGAACCATTCTCTGCACGTCTAGAGCACCCATCTTTTCTAATCTGAAGGATGAAAAAAACATGGGAAAGAAGTTAGATGTGCACATTTTTCTTGTGGATACAACTAAGACCTGTTGACCCACAGAAGATAGCTCTCCCTTCAAGTGCTACTTTTAGCAGTTAATAGATTTAGGATGGTGCGTATTAGAATTAGTGCATTAAACAGCTTAAGAAGAATCACTCCCAATCCTCGAAGAATGCATACCCCTCTTACAAGAGAGATGAAGGCAAAATACATCCATTTTATCATAATCATTTGTCATTGGCCTCACAGAGCAAGGAAAGTCAAATAAAAACTTTGAAACTAAATTGTTAAAAAAATACAATAATGTAAAAAGTTTGTAACATATTACAAAGAAACTCAACAATCAAATCAAGGGGTAGTTCACTACAAGCTGACAAAGAAGACTCTCTACTTGCAGCTTTTCTAATACCCTTTTTTCTTTGTTCCAGCATACACCAAGGTTTCATACAGTTCAAAAATGTATCTATACATCCAAAATTTCAAATCTCATAGCAAATGTTTCACCAAAACATTTGTAATAACAACATAAACTCCAAACTTTCATAGTTTCAAGGTAAATTTCTCCCATTCTGATTTCATATCAAAACCAATTCCACTTCCTCTTCCTCATAAATTCACCAAATAACCATCAACAACTAAAACTTTCAAAGTTCCCACATGCAAACACCCAATTATGCATTCACATAACTCTTTAAAATAAATGCCAAAACACACATTGCATACCGAACTGCAAATACCAACATATTTTAAAAGAGATACTGAAAAAAGTGAGAAGCTTTACGTGGCTGAAGATGGCCCAAGAAGTGGGTTTTCTTTGAGGGGCTGAAAAGAGAGGCGGCCCAAGAAGCGAGCAATGCAAGAGGCCGAGTTCTTGGGGCAATCGTTCACGAACATGGTGACCACAAAAACGACAATGTTGGCCACCACAAACGACGGGACCAGCCATGAGACCCACCTCTTGAACGGGTTGTAGTTGCTGTACGACCGCCTTCCCGTCGTCCTCGGAGCTTGGCCCGCAGGGTGCACCACGTTGTTGTTCCGCCGTGGACGGACCACCTTTATCTCCAAGTTGCTCGCCGCAGCAGATTGGTCCCTCTCCATAAAAATCTCACCTTTTTTCTTTTTTTCCTCTTTAATCATAGATATTGATGCAAACCCAGAAATCCCATTTGGGTTTTTGATTCGATTATGATCTCGAAGAGATCAAAATGTAGGACAAACTTGGAAGGAAATGGGTTTTGAATATTTTCTTCTTCTTTTCTTTCCTTTTCTCTTTTGGGTTGTGCTTGTATGTTTCTTGGTTTGGAAGGGAATGTGAATGCTTTATGGTTGAGTTGGTTTGCTCTCACAAGTCACAACAAACGTTTTAGCTTTGGTTTTAAGATTTTGGAAATGACACAGACTGTTTCTCTGTTTTGTTGCCGCTTTCAATTATCACAGACGTGACATTTGCACCAGGTGTTTGCTTCTTCCTTTTACCTTTTCTCTTTTCTGTTTTTGTTTTTTTGCCCAAACTTTTACCTTTTTTCTTTGTTCTTTGATTTTCTTTGTTTGTTTACACCGCCAGTTTTGTAATTTTGTGTATTTGTCGTGTGCTACAAAGTATGATTGCCATCTTACTATTTAATTCAGAGCTGTATCAATTTATTTAACAATTTGTATTTAAAATCAAATAAACTTTTTGTAAACGAGCTCACGAGCTTTACAAACCACCCCAAATAATTAATGACATTGAATAATGGAAAAGGTTACCCTAATGTGCAAAACCTTCCCATCACGCCAACTTAGCAAATTCCCCAAGGCTTGAGCTAGCCTAATAGCCTATCATTTTGTTGTTTGTTTTTGCCTGGAGATTAAGACATGCATATATCCTTGACATTTCAAATTAAATATATCTGCAGGTTTAAGAACAAAACAGAACTGCCAGCCAATTATCCCCCCTTAAGTGGAGAGTGGTATGCTTTTATAGGTGAGAGGGAGCCTTCACTTCTTGTTGTTTTCCGATGTGGGACTCCTCTTGCTTTGCTTAGAGTTCCTTCTAGTCTTCTAGTTGCTTGGTCAGTTACGGTGTCAACACATTGTAAAACAAAATGCATAGAAATCAAATGGCAATTCTTTTGTTCAAGACCTAAATACGAAGATATATATAGACGGGATATATGTATATATACATAATTGATGATACATTAATGGTCCTACGAAAGAGAAAAACTTCCATACGGAGATAGCATTGTTTTGATATCACCTCAATTATTGGGTTTGAAAAGTGCAAGAGAATACCTCACTTCCCAAAACACCTCTCTTTCAACTTCCAATTCGAATTCCATATCAAGTACGTGAGGAAGTTGGGATAGAAAATTTCGATATCGGCCAATTCTGATCCGAAAGAAAGTAAAAATACAAAGTATTGATTGATCAAATATATAAATAAATAAATAAATAAAATGTATGCATTGTAGATTCTAGATTGATGTTACTACCAACCCAAGATTCGGATCCAACGGACGTGATTGATCAAATATAAAAATAAATAAATAAAATGTATGCATTGTAGATTCTAGATTGATGTTACTACCAACCCAAGGTTCGGATCCAACGGACAGTAATTTAAGCTCTTTGTGATTCTCCAAACAGATACATACATAGCACAGCAAGGTAATATTTAGAATGTTACAAAGTTGCCTTTGAATTGCTTAACGACTTCCTCCATTTGATCTCGTTCTTTCTCTCTCTCTCTCTCTCTCTCTTTCGATCCATTTTCCAAAGAAATCCTGAGACTAATTGCTTCTCCAGCAACCCATGCATACCTTTTCCAATCCCATGCATTTTAATTTCGTGCCTCTGATTCCATAATAAACATGTTCATCTTCTTCAATCAAGCAAGATTAAATGTTCTGATTTTTCTCTTGGGTTTTCTTCAAAGCAACATGGGTTGGTTCCGTTTATTTGCTCTGTCACATGTTGCATTGAGCTTTTCTAATTCTCATTGATCCAAGACTAACACAAGGGAGACAATTACGACGATTAATCGAAGAAAGTTGCGAATGAGGGCCTTTCGTGACAATATGGGAAGGCCTTTCATGAAGATTGCAGCATGCCGCAACCAATCCTGGTTTGTATGTGCCTCATTTTTATTGTGGTTTTTATTGCTTTGCGTGTATCACTCACAATTCATGGTGGGGAAGAACCTGATTGCCCTGTTAGGCAATCACAACCCTGACATTGCTGACAATGTCGCCAAAGATTCTGGTTCTGTTGATTCTGTTTCTTTGCCTAAAGAAATTACTGAAAGTAGTAGCACCAAATTGAGAGATGAAGGCCATCATATTAATGTTGTTTTCAATGACCGAAGTGGGGATTTTAATTTGAGAACCAAAGATGTTTTCGGTATTCAAGAACATGGCATTGAAAATTTCGGGCAACATTCAGTTTCTAAGAAGGAATTAGAGCCTCATGACCATAATGATCAGGCACGTGATCTTATTGAGAATGAAGCTCAATCTGATAAGAATTTGGTTGAGTCTGTTGATCCAGAGGAACATATAGACGAAAGGGTTGAATCTACTTCTGATTCATGCTTAGGTAAATACATTTATGTCCATGACATCCCTAGCAAATTTTACAAGGACTTGCTGCAGAAATGTGGTTCACTTAGCAATTGGACTAATATGTGTGATTTTGCATCAAACTCTGGTCTTGGCCCCCATCTACCGAATTTTGAGAGAGTCTACTCAAATACTGGTTGGTTTTCTACAAACCAGTTCTTGTTAGAGGTCATATTCCACAACAGAATGAAGCAATACAACTGTTTGACAAAAGACTCATCCCAAGCTTCAGCAATCTTTGTACCTTACTATGCTGGCCTAGACGTGGCGCGGTACCTCTGGGGTTCCAACATGTTTATGAGAGATTCTGGTTCACTTGAAATTGTCAAGTGGCTGAGAGAAAAACCAGAGTGGAACAAAATGTGGGGTAGAGATCATTTTATGGTGGCAGGAAGAATTACTTGGGATTTTAGGAGATGGACCGACACTGATTCGGAGTGGGGTAACAAGCTCATGCTCTTGCCTGAATCAAAAAACATGACCATGTTGACAATTGAATCAAGCCCTTGGAATAGTAATGACTTTGCCATACCATATCCAACATATTTTCACCCTTCAAAGGACAATGAGGTGTTTCAATGGCAGAACAGAATGAGGAGGCAGAGAAGGCGCATATTGTTCTCATTTGCAGGTGGCCCCAGGCCTAATCTTCAAAGCTCAATCCGAAACGAAATCATTGACCAGTGTAGGGATGCAAGGAGGAAATGCAAGTTGCTAGAATGCACTTCTGGTCCAGACAAGTGCCACAAGCCGGTGTTTGTGATGAAAATGTTTCAAGGTTCTGTGTTCTGCTTACAGCCTCCTGGTGATTCTTTAACTAGGAGATCAATTTTCGATTCGATTCTGGCTGGCTGTATTCCGGTGTTCTTTCATCCCGGTTCAGCCTACGTCCAATATCTGTGGCATTTACCAAGAGACTACACCAAATACTCTGTGTTTATACCGGCATTTGACATAAAGAATGGGAGGGTCAGCATTGAGAGGATCCTGCAAAGAATTCCAAGACAAAAAGTTGTGGAAATGAGAGAAGAGGTTATAAAACTGATACCGAAAGTGATATATGCAGACCCAAGTTCTAGATTGGAGACTCTTGAGGATGCATTTGATATTGTAGTTAAGGGGGTTCTTGAAAGAGTGGACACAATCAGGAGGGACATGAGAGAGGGGAAGAACACAAGTTTTGATTATGCAGAAAAAGTGAGCTGGAAATACAATCTGTTTGGGACAGTGGAGGAACATGAATGGGATCCTTTCTTAGAAAGGGGTCAAATGTAAATGCCTTAGACAGCAGAAAAAAGATGCAGGATTAATTTGTAGTTGTACACAAAGAAAAAGTAAAAAGGTAAACTAGTTTGTTCTATGCAAACAGACTTTTTCTTTTCCTTTCTTTTGTAGGGCCATTTTTTCTCTCTCACAAAATTATTGGTGTGGGGCTTCAACTTTGAAATTCTCATTATTGTTTACCCTCCATTGATGGAATCATTTTGCAAAGTCCTTATAAGAGAAGGATCCTAATTATCCTTGATCGCATGATTACCTGTGACCATACATCATATTCAGATCCATGATTTGATCTAATGGATTTTCATGGAATAGATAATGAGAGAATCTGTTGTGTCATCAAGAGTATTACCTCTTGTATCTATAACACTCATCACGTGAGTGTCGTGGACATAAAAGTATATTCTCGGTTTTAGGTAAGATTCACAAGATGAGTGTTGTAGACACAAAAAAATATTACCCCCTAGTACGTAAGATTCTTTATATAGATCATGCAAGGGGTAGGGTGGTGTAACAACACGCATTGTTAATATATTGTTTCTGAAATGACATTCTCAAGAAAGCGTTTGTAGTCCAACGGTTAGGATAATTGCCTTCCAAGCAATAGACCCGGGTTCGACTCCCGGCAGACGCAAACAATTTTCCATTTTAAAATTTTAATTTGTTATTTTCTTGTGTGAAGAACGACGTCGCATGACTCCTGATATTCTGAGGAAGAGAGAGGTAATCATTTTATTCTCTCTCTTCCTCATTCTGACGCAAACAATTTTACACTTTAAAATTTTAATTTGTTATTTTCTTGTCTGAAAACGACGTCGCGTGTCTCCTGATATTCTGAGGAAGAGAGGTAATCATGTTATTCTCTTCCTCATTCTGACCTTAAACCACAACCAATCAACCAGACAGATATTTACGCGCCAAAACCATTTCCGTGGACGAAACACAGTCTCTCTCTCTCTCTCTCTCTTGGTGTCTCCTAACCGCTTACTTGAGCTTTACCCTTCACACTTGAGTTTCATGGCGGCCGCGAGCTCCTCCTTCACTCCGCACATAATCAGGTCCACAGTACCTGAACTTTCCAGAAACCCTAGAAACGGAGCTCCATTTTCCGTTCGAATCTCTTCGAGCAGTAACTACCCAACGACTCGCGATGAGCTCGCCGAGGGCCCATACTGTATCTACGTCGGCCCAATTGAAACCGCCAGCAAAGAAACCCTTGAAGCCCTCTACCGTCAAGTAAGCCCTCTCTCTCTCCTCTTTGTTCTTCAGTAAAAATAAAGATCATTTCTTTTTGAATGAAAATGTCAAATTGGGTTGGTACATGTGGCAGGCACGTGATGCGTATTACAGTGGTGACCCTTTGATAGTTGATGATATGTTTGATAGAGTAGAGGTATGTTGCACTTATAAGTTCATAGCAATATCTTTAAACCATGTTTTCATTTCCGGAATTTGTGTGCAAATCTTACAATTGATTGGAAAACAGCTGAAGCTAAGATGGTATGGATCGAAATGCGTTGTGAAATACCCTCGTTGCAGTCTGAGGCGACAGTCAACTTATGCCGATGCTGAGGTAATTGATTTTTATTGACCTTTTCAGTGCTGTTTGTCAGTGAGACCCATATCAAAATTCTGGCTTATTGCTTAGAAACCAGAAAATATAGAGGAATTGGAGGTGAAACTATGCTCTAATTGATGCTTGGGTAATTGGGTTTCTCACTCATTTGGTTAAATAAGCATAAAATCTATTAGCTAGTGATATGTTATAGGATTCAGGGTGTTCGTATTTCACCATCTTGAGTTGTGCTATTTCTTTAATAAGTTCTATGAATTTTAGTTGAGCCTTTTTTTTGAGTCGCTCACGTGTTTGGACGACCGTCAGCATTGATGTATGTCCACGAGACCCACTGTGGAACCCGAATACATCAATGGTTGACAACTGTCCACTGATGCATGGGCAACTATTGCTAGCATCGCCATTGTGTTCTGTGTTCATAGGACAGGCGACTCAATCATTAACTGCCGCATTAGTTTGTAAACCAAAATGCAGTCTTTAATGCTACCATCTATTATACTATGTTATTTATTGAATAGGAAAACTGGTTTCTTTCTTTCTTTCTCTGCCTGAATATTGAGTGACATGGATGTAGGGCAGGAAGATTTATCACAGGTTTTTACATTAGCAAGCATATGGATCCTATTTCTTGCTTTTGGCAGTTCAGCGTGTCTTGTGCCCATGGTTTACACTGTCAGCCTAGCTTATCAAGAGGCTTTTAATCCAGGATTTTCTTATATAAACCAAACGTTTGCTTTTTCCATGCTAAATGCGATTCTCTTCATGGCATTGGGTTCTGTCATCGGTTATCCAATTGCATCAGCTTCTGGTAAGTTAAACTGCATCCATTCTCCTCTAAAGTATTTTAAAAATTTCAATTGTTTTGAGGGTTTTTTTCTTTTTCTTTTCTTCCAAATGGAATATTGGATATAATCTCAAATTCTTGTAAGCTCTCTATGTTAAGTCTAGGAAATTGAAAATCATCATTAGGAAAATGTGTAATTTTTCTATGTTATTATCATTTGTTCAAATGTCAGCGTTTTTATAAGTGATGTTTCTCACAGTTAAAGTACTTGGAGGCTTGTGGAGGAATAACTTGGTGGCGCTAAAAGGGGCATGCCCAAATTGTGGGGAGGAGGTCAGTTGATCATGACATATTTTATCAGTCTGAGAATTCTAATAGCTGTTTTTTTAATTCTAATTTGTGATTTATCCATTTTTACGGATTTCAATAGCATCTCTCTGCAGGTGTTTGCATTTGTGAAATCCAATCAGTCTAATAACTCCCCACATAGAGCAAATTGTCATGTATGTGATTGCTTGTTAGAGTTCCGTACCAAGGTTGAGGTAACTTAGTTTCTTCTCTCTCTCTCTCTCTCACCATAAAATCCTTATGTTTAAATTTGTTCTTATTTTATAAAGATCTAGAAGCAAATATTACAATGCCAAAGGAAGTACCAGTGATTTACTCCTCCAGAACCTTATTACGAAATGGGTTCTGTAAGAGGTAGTTGAACTGGATTCGAAACTACCCTTTGTAGTGAAATATGATCGACACGTTTCCCACTTATGTAAGCAATGTGGTATATATAGCATTGCTCTTATCACGTTCGCGTATCTTACGTGTTGTGAGCTATTGTTGTAAATGGCCTCACTTTCTCATTTTTTGCAAATTGCCACCTTCCCTTGTTATGGTGTTAAAACTGCTCAAGTCAAACCATTGCTCTGTTCACATGTACTCGTTCTTAACTTTATGAAATTATTATAGGCTCTCTGATTACTGAATGAATATAGGAGGATCAAAAGTTACATGTTCCGTCGCTATTTGATAGAATATAATCTTTTAAAATACATATTTTGCCTCACATTGGAGTAATTTTTGTGCAGAAATCCATTTCACCACTAGGTAGAAGATGGGTATATGGCAGTATCTATCTGGTTTCACGAGGCAGAAGCAGATTGCAAAGACGGCTATAATATGTCTCCCAAGTCCCAAATCCCAATACAAATGCATTTCAAAGCTTATGTACAGTAGGACAATTCTTTCCAGTCCTCCTTTTTCCAAATTTTATTGTAATAAAACTAGCTCAATCTTACCTCAATAGGATCAGTTCTATAGGTTGTCTCTCTATGTCAAGGAATGTATTTCTTACATGTTATTGTCATTCTTCATTGGACAGTAAAGTATAGAGTTCTATATTATGGAATGTTTATTTGAGTACAATCTCAAATATTGTTGTCAAATTGTCAATCTGAATTATTGATTAGCTAAAATCTTATTTGGATGTGTAGTCTGAATTAACAACATGACATAATAGATAATTTGATAAGAGAACATTACCCTACATCTAATTAGGGTTGCAGTTGGGGCACAAGGTCATGTACGAGTCTCCATGTTCAAAAGAAAGACCCAAAATTTCACACCCAAATATGCGTTCAACGGCATATGCATGCCTGACTTTCAAACTTCAAAATGGTGTTACAAGTACATACTATTTGTGAAGCAATTCAGAAAATGACTGATCCGATTCTCAAACAGAAATACATTCCATTTGCACTATTACATCACAACTTGCTGCAGTTAATGGAAGCTCAAAAATCCTGTAAACCTCTAAAACGAAGAGTATTAATTGATAATACATTCCATTCATGTGGTGTCACACTCAAAAATTCACCTGGGACCCTAAATTATGCGTTGCGGAAACAGAATATCATGCTTGACAGCCAAAAATTATTGGGAGCTTAGTCTACAAGAATAAGGCTTGCAGGTAATTTTATTAGAGGCTACCAAAAACAATTTTGATTATCATCAGTTTTGCAGGCCATACATTGCTACATTGCGTGGATGTTTATGATGGAACACTGACTGAAACATCTATTCACCATAATAAGATGCTAGAATGTTCATGCTCATATTCATAATGTTAACCATAAAGAAACAAGCAAACTTCTAAGGAAACTTTAATCGTATCCAAGGTTATCACTCTTCATGCAACCAAGTCCTATTGCTGAACACCACCGGGGATAGAAATGATAGCGGAATTGAATAAATAGCCAATCAGAAGTGTCCCAAGCTGTATACTAGAATCCAGGCAAGCTACAAAACAGAAAGAGAGGAAATGAGTATAAGGTCAAAGACCAAAAGAAACCCCATAAATCTTGATTTATATGAAAAGGTGATTTCTCAAGGGGAAAAGAGGGCAATAAAAAGATGTCAAATTACCAGAAAAAGAGTTATAGAAGCGAAAAGCCCCTCTTGGAGGAGAGCTCCATGGCCACCAAAGTCTTCTTCATCAACATTTAGCATCATTGCGTAATAGCCATATATAATTCCGGTAGATATGACCAGAAAACTGTGAAAAAATGTCCACACCACTAGAGATGAACAAAATATTTTACAGTAATGCTATAAGACATTGGAAGCAATAGCTAATGAAAATACAAAACCATCAAATAATACTTCTAAAAACAGTAGGTAGGAAGCAAAGACATCCAACTCAGGCATAAGTTCTTTTCTCTTGGCCTGAAACTCAGCCGCTAGTTGCCACACAAATCTAAATAGTATGATTACATGACTGCAAAAAGCCATCAAGTTGGTAACAGTAAATTGAAAACTGTCTGCACCGAGTCCCTTTAAAGTAAAGGCATCCATTTCTCTTAGAGAACTACGATGTTACAGAAGCAATCAAGGAATGATCCATCTTTGCAGTTGAACTCGGTAGGGTCAAGACCATGTCAAGCAATGTGATTTTTAATTTAAAACTTAGTTTAATTAGGTAACTCTCCTAGCCTTTATTTCAATACAGTAGCAGCTGTAACTGCTATGTGACATCATGTGCCTTATTAAGACATCCCCAAAGCAGGTAAGACTTCAATAGTTAATCAGTTCCACTTTTAATATGTATTGGAAAGAAACTTTACAAAAACAGAATCCACCAGTGTTTATATAGACTATTAAGATTCCAGAGAATGATAAGTAACTGAAGCTATACACCCCTATGATTCAACAGGAATCTTGAATGAATTGTTTTATGGTTTGAAAGTAGCACCTAAAGAATATAAGTTTCAGCATAATTTCTGATATCTTTGACAATTCAAAGACTGGGCATCCCCAAACGAGTTTTAAAGTCCATTCTATTGGGGAAAGTTCCTAATGGAATGCTTGGTGCTTTCCTTCTTTTATTCACATATATTATTTTGACTTTCTAAAACAGACCTTAAAGTTTCTAGGTTATCAAATATTGGCTTGCAACAATGCCCTGCTTTCCACAGGAGATTGAGTACTATGCTCTACTCTCTTTTCAAGTTATATTTAAATACATAACACTCTTCTGTTAACTTATTTGACAAGCTTTTAAAACATCTTCTAAAGATGCTCCTTAAAGTGCATGCCCAAATACAATATTCCAATCCTCATCTCTGCTTTGAGCTAGAATCAGATTCTGACTCACTCACCACATAACAAATCTACATAAGAAATGCACCAAACGAATTCCTCCACTATTTAAATGAAAACTTGAGGTAACTATTACTCACACCGCTGTGAAATCAAACAAGGGGTAATCTTTGGGTCTAAGACTTCAAACAGAAAACTTATAGGCTATGCCACATAAAAACTCTGGTGTTGAGCCTATGAGCTTTGACAACAAAAATACAATAACAATTTACACCCAGGTAATAGCATTTGCATCAAAGATTCGTTAAATGATTAGTGATTAGAAACATGAACTGATGATGGTTCAAGCAAATGGCAACTGTGTCAAGCAATGAAAAAGGTGTCGAACCATCAACTTACATGATGAACCATATGCCTCCGACCAACGGTATCGCACCCCATAGTAGCCCACATACAAGGGCCATTGCTTGTCGAATCCAATGCAAGACATCTCCCAATTGATCCTACACACATACACAAAGTAAATCCAAATTACTAACGAACAACTAAGACAACAGCTAAAATATAAAATGAGTAAAGAAAAAAGAGTTAATGAACCAATCAGATGCTTCTAAATCACCGTAACAGTTTCTGCTCATTATACTCAATAAATTTTACCGTTTCAATATTGCCCTTTCAATTCCAAAAATCTCGACACCCCATTACAACTTCCACTGCTACATTATATACCCAAACAAAGAAACAAGCAATCGGAAGGAACACAAGATTTGTTGTTATACTTTCTCGGCAACCAAACAAATCACAGTGATCAAATAAGGGGAAGGTGGAGTACCTTGTCCCATGAGGCTTCTGGATCCAACAACTTGGCGAATTTGAACGGAGACAAGTGACCGTTCTGGTGGTGCTGCTGCTGCTGCTGCAGTTGACCGTTCAATTTCACTGATTTCCCTTCTTTCATGCTTTAAAGGATCACAAATTTGTATTCAAAACAATAATAATCGACGCAAATCTTAACTAAATCGAGTGTGTGCGCGCTTCCGGAGTTGCAGGGTGATGTGGTAGGTGGCTTTTGCGTGAAGATCAGAGCTCGTTAGGGTTTTGGGATTGGGCGGAGAGAGAGAGAGAGAGAGAGAGAGAGGGTTGACAGTAATTAAATTTGAAAAGTATATCAGTAAATTATTCTATAGAAAACTGAAGGAGCTTCGCTGTAGATCTGAGACAATTTGGATTTGTATGAGATGTGATTGTGTTGTAAATATTTTGCTGCTGCTGCTTCTTTTGCTTCCCACGTGATCACAGAGTCCAAATTGTTCCAAAAAACCAAAACCAAAAGGCAGCCAATACGATCGCGATTCTCCCAAACTCTAAGCAGTATAAAAGACCTTTGTTGGGCTTGGACTTAACTGACTTAGACGGCCCAATTTCATTTTTGTGATTTGAAATATATTTTTCTCATAAAATCAAGGGAAAATTATACTAATGTCACATGAAATAATAAGGATTACAATTAGGCTTAAATGCTACAGTATTTCATGAAACATTGCTCAATTCTCACTTAACCCTCTCAAAGTTAAAGTGACCAACTTTGCCCCCTTGACCAAGGGTTGAGTATTTGTTGGTTTAGGCGTAATTCTCTCAATATCAAATTAACATGTTGTTGTGTTTGGTCATTGGAGATGTCGTACCCATTTTGGCTCTTTTGTGACTATGTACTTTGACATGTTTCATCAATAACTACTATCGCTTTTTCTATAAATAAAAAAATAAATAAATGAGAGAGAGATCTTTAAAAAGAGACCAATTTTGAATATATTTGAAAAAATAATAATTAATTGTTATATTTTTTTCTATTGCATTGAACTATTAAACAACCATTGCAGATGCTCTTAACGGCATAATGCATCAATTGCTGTATTTTTTCTATTTTTCATTGGCATGTAGGTCCCATAGTTAGCCTATTGCAATTGTAAAAGAGGGTTCATCACATAGCACCCTCTATTGCAAGGGGTTGCAACTATTGTGATGAACTAAATCACACAATTGCAAGTGAGATTTTACTGTTTTAGTTCAATTTCATATGATAAAATTGCATTGATCCTAACCATGATGCTCTTAGAATCAATTCGAATACTCCTCTCCATCAATAAAAAATAATTTAAAAAATTTGGTGGGAAAAAATAATTAAACTCTTCCATCTTCTTGAATTTCCTTTTTACAATATAAAAAAGAAAACGTTTCAAATAATAATGAACGCGTGCCAGGACGTCATTAAAGCAGAAGAAAACACGCGCCAGCGCAAGAAAACAACCGCCAACGAATTCCACTTCATGTCATCTTTGGTATCTGAAATTACAATCCCTACCCCTCACCGAACTATTTTCTCTTTCCTTCCGTCTTCTAGTTTCTTCATTTCCTTCTTATTTGGTGGCAAACGGTTTTCTCTGTTTTTCGTAGTGTTGAATTGATCTTGCAATTATCAAATTAGGGTTTTTAGCTTTCACGGAGACTGAGAGAGAAATGGGTAGCCCAAAGAAGGGACAGAGCAAGGGCTTCTTCGCAGCCATGAATTCTGGCATCTCCGTGTTCAGCAACGCCATGCACCGATCTGTTGGCGGGTTAGCTTTTTCTCTCTTCCTCATAATTCAATCTTTCACTTCATTTCTTCTTCTCTGGAGGTGAACTCTTGGCGTCATCGTGAACCCTAATTGTGCTCTTTCTCTGTAGATGTACTACTCTTAATCACTTCTTGATTTGGCTTCCGTAATTCGCCTTGAGCTGTGACATTTTGATCTTGCTTGTGATCGGATTCTTATCAGACTCTTTCTCCTCGAAATGTGTCTGTTTTCTTACACGTTTATGTACTGCATTGAAACGACTATGATTTGTTGGATATTTGGGTTTCCTTTGCGCAACATTGTGAGTGAATTGCTGAATTTAGAGTTCCCTATTAGGATGAGGATGCTGAATTTGGGTTTGGAAGGGTTTTAGGTTAGTTGTAAGACACAATGCGGGTTTTAGGTCAGTTCCTGAATTACGATGCAAGTTGGATTCTTAACTTGACCTAGTGTTTTAATCAGCCGATGAGGCGGATTATGTTTGTGTTTATAATTAGGACACTTACAAGTGTGTGTGTGTACTTATCGAAGATGATTGCGGTCCTACCACTTTCGATTTGAATAAATCATTTAGTCATTTAAATTGAAAATTAATGTGCAGATTGTCTGGAATCAATATTAGAGGTTCTTGCCATATGATTATCATCAATATTTTATTTTTCTATAAATATTCGAACAAAGACATGCTTATTAGCATCTAAGCAATGGTGCCTTGGATAGTAGTCCAGTAATTTGTAGGCAGGCCTATGACTTGGAATGCAATTCTTAATTTAATATGGATATTGGTGTAAACTTGCCCTTACTTTTATTTATTTTTAAAAATTGTTAAAAAAATATAAAGAATTTTTCAGACAGCCCAAATAGATTGGTTCTCTTTAGGGAGGTGATTTTCATGTCTGCTGAATCTCTGGTTGAGGCCATTTATGTATAACTTGCATGTTCACTGTTCTTGTACTCCGTATACAAGGGCACTTTTGGTGTACTTTTCTTGCACTACATTCATTTTCTTGTGTACCAGTTATTGAGAAAACTATGCCCTGGCCCTTATGATATGTTATTAAGGAGTGAGATCTGTCAGTTGAGAATCTGGCTCTCCTGTTGCTTTTAGGTTGCTTGGTTATGAAGGGGTGGAAGTCATAAATCCAGAGGGAGGCAAAGAAGATGCAGAGGAGGAAGCTCATAGAGGAAGATGGAAGCAGGAGGTGTGCTGTTTTTTCCATTTGTACATTTTATCTTTCAAGGGATGTGCTGCTCTTAGTTATGATTTGCTTGATGATAAGTTGGCTATTAGGAGTAAGAGTATTGTCTATATTTAGTGTAGTGTTTCAACTGTGTTTTTATATGAGGGATGGCTATGTGTTCAGAAAGGCATGTTGTCCTTATTGTTTCTTGATTAATATATGTGGAGATGTTGTAATATGACATTTTTCATGTTTAATTCCAGCAATTAAAGTGCAATGCTTGGAATCTAAAGTGGTCTTGCCATTGTGATAGCATCCTAACATTAACTCATAAACTGCATCCCTTAACCTTCTTATTTTCTACTTCAAATGTGAAATTTATTTGTCATTCTTAACCTGCATCGCTTATACATCCTGACATTTTGAGTTCTCTGCAATTTTTATGTTTAAGGAACGAGATAGTTACTGGAGGATGATGCAGAAGTATATAGGTTCAGATGTAACATCAATGGTGACTCTTCCTGTACTTATTTTTGAGCCCATGACAATGCTGCAGAAAATGGCCGAGGTTTGTGCTACTTAATATCTGTGCACTGTTGTTGTGCACATTGTATATATACTTGATTATGGTATAAATTGTGCAATGTCTGTGACAGTTAATGGAGTACTCGAACTTGTTGGATCGCGCAGACGAATGTGAGGATCCTTATATGCGGTTGGTGTTTGCCAGTGAGTATGCCTTTCCTTTGAAGTTTTCTTGTGATGCACATGCAAGTATCATTTTTTGAAGCATGTAATTCATATTAATCATTGCAGCGTCGTGGGCTATATCCGTCTACTATGCCTACCAGCGAACATGGAAGCCATTCAACCCTATCCTTGGGGAGACTTATGAAATGGCTAATCACTCAGGGGTTACATTTATTGCAGAGCAGGTGAGCTTTTGAGGGCTATGACCGTCCTGAGTATGAGCGTTTGAGAGTTTTTGAGGGATTACCTGTCCTGGTGTTCGTTTGACACTGCTTCTGGAGAGGCATGCAATATTTTTTTAAACAGAAAATGCTTCTCACAATTTTGAGGTCGTTAAACCTTTTGTCCTACTTAATAAGCAAAAGTATCATCTTCTTGGATAAGCTTTATTTTGGAGCTTCTTCAAAAGCATCCTTTCTCTGAGAACTTTGCAAAAGATCTTTTAGGGGAAGCCTCTAGAAATGACTGACTCTAAAGCTATATTACATCTAGTAATCTTGTAGTGTCTTTCAATTGCATCCTCATTAGGTTTTCTTTCATGTTCTTCTGTCTTCCATTTAAAATCGTAAGTAAGCTGAAATGATTCATCATATATCATTATTCCAGGTGAGTCATCATCCACCAATGAGTGCTGGGCATGCTGAAAATGAGCATTTTGCTTATGATGTGACATCAAAGCTGAAAACTAAATTTTTAGGCAACTCTCTTGATGTTTACCCTGTTGGAAGGTAATACACTGCTTGCTTGTTTCTATAATCATAAATTTAGTTGTGTATGTATTTTCTGTTCTCCCGACGATATAAATTTTATTTTGGATGCCATTAGCTTGTGTGAGTAGAAAGGTTTTGTCTTTTTTTAACCCCTCCGGTTTTTTGGGTTTTTAGTGGATTCTGAAGCTAATCCTTTGTGAGGGCTTGACCTGCTTTTGCTTCATTTTTATAAGAGTTGCATCTCTATATGGCTACTTTGATTAGATGAACTATTATGTATATTTGTTATTTCGATTCAATTTTGTTGGTTTGTACTTTTGTTGATGTATGGGGTTAACTTTTTAAAATATTATTACTATCAAGTGCTTTTTTATTTATCATCGTGTTTTTTCTCTTGTTCATTTTTTTAGATGGGAATTTTGGAAAGAACATTTATGTTTATGTACTATTGGTTTGTTTGCAGAACACACGTTACTCTTAAAAGAGATGGTGTAGTCTTAGACTTAGTGCCACCTCCCACAAAGGTAAACAACTTAATATTCGGCCGGACATGGGTTGATTCACCAGGGGAGATGATCATGACCAATCTGACGACTGGGGACAAAGCTGTGCTATATTTTCAGCCATGTGGCTGGTTTGGGTATCTTTTCTTCTTATTTCAATTCCATGAAACATCTACTCCTGTCTATGAATTCCTCAATTGTGAGCCTTGTTAGTTTTTACTGGTGGATTTTGTGGTATAATGAGATTAGAACTCTTTACATTTGACTGTTTGATCTCATTGGGTATATGCTGAATAGATTCCTGACCCCATGTTTCTTTCTTAATATATGGCTAAAGTGTCTCTATAAATATAAAAAGTCAAGAAGAGTGCTTCCTTCTAAATGGTTCACTGGATCCTGCTGTAAATAAACTATTCCAGTACTATAAACTGAGTTTTGAAAAGATTTGTTACTCTTTTATAATTTCTCTTGGTAGTTCCACAATTAGTTTATACAACCATCGTAGTAGTTATACGTGTTCTTTTATGCTACTTGCCACATCGTACTGGTGTCCAATTAAAAGCTGTATTTGGTTGCAGAGCTGGCCGCTATGAAGTGGATGGATATGTTTACAATGCTGCTGAGGAACCTCAGATATTGATGACTGGGAAATGGAATGAGTCAATGAGTTATCAACCATGTGATATGGAAGGGGAACCCCTTCCAGGCACAGAATTAAAAGAGGTTACTCATAGAATCTTTCTTGTATAATTTTGTATGTTATTGAAATGTTGCTCTAATATTTCTAGTTGGTGCTGTGAAAAGGGTAGAATCTGTGAGCTTGACAATTATATATTTTTATACAGTCAGTCAAGTTTAATATACAATATTTGCATTTACTTTCATGGAGTTAAATCACATATATGATTTTAATTTAAGAGAATTTTTATGGGATTAGTTTCTTTGATGAACCCATTATAGTGCGTGATTAATTAAAGACAAATAGTGTCCCACCAGAGTGTGGTAATGGCTTGTTACTTTAACTTATTTACTCCTGCCTAGTGGAACTCTTCATTAGTATTTGTCAGGATTCAGCTGCTTTCTTTGCTACAGAAACAAAAGTTTCAAGAAGATGATGAATAGTTTATTTGCTAGTCTCTCTGTTTCTGGCACATTGTTTTAACTGGATCACACGTTGTATGACATTGATTTCCATTATATTTGCTGGGCAAAGATACTCAACAATAGCCTGGCTCCTTACATTTACGAAAGATAATCTCTGCTGCAGGTTTGGCATATTGCTGATGCTCCAAAAAATGACAAATTTCAGTACACATATTTTGCACATAAAATAAATAGCTTTGACACTGCTCCTAAAAGGTTGTTGGCGTCAGACTCTCGTTTGCGGCCTGATAGATGTGCACTTGAGAAAGGAGATCTATCCAAATCAGGTGCAGAAAAGAGCAGGTATCTGTCTCTTTCTCAAGTAATTTGTATTGTTTTCAATAGGGAACCAAATTGCTGAATTCGTTGGAAATTTCTAACAGACTTGCATCTTTTTTATATTTAAATAATTGGTTTTTTTTCTGTTACGATGTCCTTGTGATGATTTAGGTACAGATTGAGGTTTCTTAGCTGTCGTAAAGGCATTAAGTTCATGCTTGCATTGAGTCTTTGTCCCCTCACAAAGATGATTGTTCCTTTAATTACCCTTTCTTTCTTTCAGATTGGAGGAGAGGCAGAGAGCCGAAAAGAGAGAACGAGAGGCCAAGCATCATCAGTTTACACCACGATGGTTTGACTTGACTGAGGAAGTTACACCTACACCTTGGGGTGACTTGGAAGTCTATCAATATAACAATAAGTACAATGAACACCGAGCAGCAGTCGATAGCTCTGACTCTATTGATGAGGTTGATGTTAAACTAATTGAATTCAACCCATGGCAGTATGGTAATTTGTCTGCAGAATGAGGTATACCAACCTTTGTGTTACCTTGTTGGATTGTGCTGCTAGTTCATTGGAACTTTTAGCTTGTGGAAGCAGTTTGTTGGCCGTTGGCATGTGTACATTGTACCCCCATTCCATAATCCTATTTTGGTTTTGTTTTCCTGTTTGTTACTGATATCTCCTAGTGTATGAAAGAGAGACGGAAAGAAGTAGAAGAAAGGTTATGTAAGTCTCTTTGGTTAACGCTATGATACTCAGGTGATGCCTTGCCTTGCCAGCTCCTCGGACGTGTGGGAGAAGCAGCTATGTGCATAGGGCAACATCTCTGCTCTGAGTAAAGACTTCCCATATGGTGTCATGCTAAACTTACTGGTCAGTGGTTTCACCCTTCTAAACATGGACATGTTTCTTCTTCGCTCTTCATCAAGTTGATGTATAACTTCACTGCCGGAGGTGGGATTTTTAAAAAAATAGTCTTTTGTACAAAATATGGATTTTTTGTTTCCCATTTATATACATAAGCGGTTACTTTTCATCTCAGGTGCGGCACCGTATATATCATCTTGACCGGTAAATATGGTTGCATGATTTTGATAATCTTCAGCGTTTTCTTCATTTTGTTGATATACATCATACCGTCCTTTTCCAACCAACTATTTAAATCCCACAAATGAACGGAGGAACAGGATAGTCTTCAATATACGGTTCGCATCACAAACCTCCTAAAGAATTCAGACAGATAATCCAAGTTACGAAAACAAGTGCTCCATTTGTCCACAACATAAGTCATGACCTCTCTCTATGTAACTTACCAAATCTAGGGATGACAATTTTTTTCGATCCCCGCTAGCCCCACGGGCTTCGCCTTTAGAATTTCTATGTGTAATCGCACTTGACATGCATTAAATTATAAATTTTTAATCATTTTATTAAGGAAAGTAATTTAAGTAAAATAGTTACCATGGAGACGGAGATAGTAACCAAATTCGGTCCGAACCGCCCTGTTTTTGTATTCAAAATACCTTAAAAGCTTGTCCAAATCCAATATTGCAATGCCAGCTAATTGGGCCCAATATCCACCTCCACTTGAAATCAATGGCCCAGAGTTCCAAGTAGTGTCTCTATCAGTATGGACCCCGGGTGAAGAAGAGATTCCCTAATGTAACAACTTTGACGGCTTCATGATTAACAAGCTTTTCCGCTCTTTGAATTTAAAACTTCAAATGGTATTTGGAGAAGACGGATTTCTTTCCTTTCCTCCAGATATACCCTACCAGATTCTTCCTCGAAAACAATTGAATTTCCAACATATTAATTCCACCTGAACTTTACTTTGCTTGCTGTGCTTATAATATATATCCAATGGAATATCCCAACAAAACTTCTTTTCAAAGTGCAGTTATAATGAGCCCACGCCTAGCTGCCTAAAATAACTTATATTTTGGGTTTTCAGGCTTTCTATTAATTTCATTATTTCCACCAAATTATAAATTGTGTGTTAACATTTTCCATTTACTAATACTGCACTCTGGCCTATGAACATATCACAAGCATGTATTATAACTTGAGTGATTTAATACTATCACATCAGCATATCGTGTGGTGTTACCGTCACATAATAATAAATTTCTCATGAATTTCACTATTAGACTAGCATTAAAGAATAATTTTAAGCATTCACAAGGATGCGGGCAGTAAAGGTAACGCTATATTTTGAAAGTAAGTTTTAAAGAAATAGTTTAAGGTCACCCACCCTACTTGGGTTAAAATTCTACAGGCAACTTGGCTCTTGTTGTACCTCCATCTCCTCCACAGCAAATGATCCTTGCCTTTAATGGGTAGTGTATTCTGTTGAAAACTAAAGTGTAATCCGAATAAGTTCTCCATTTTCGTTTTGAATGTGAGTCGGTGGGAATAATTATTGGGGATTATTTTAGGGAAAAAGAAAAGAAAAGAAAGTTTGAAACTTCCATACTCCCTCGCTTGGATTGGATGAGTCATAGGTCAATGACTTATCATAGTCAATTATGCCATGCTTGCTTGGTAGGAATTGGTAATTAACTCCTGCACTATTTTAAAGGCTAAGAATGGTCCTAAACTAGATTTGCTTATTAATATCTCTCTTGACATTTCGTCCATGTTGTTGTCTTTGGCTAACTCATTTTCTTTTTTACTTCTCTTCGTTTTTTGGTCTACGCCGTCGACTGCATAACAAGAAAGCAACGGTTATAACTTATATCACATCATCATGCTAAAACTTAATAATTTTTCTATAAATATCAACAAATTAATGAGTTTGATTTTTATGTTATTTTTTATGAGAGAACAAAATGAATCGTCCAACGGTAAAACATGTCATGGTTGACCAACTAACTATTAATCTAGTGGTATTTTTTCTCACAATAACTCTCGAATTTGATTCCCTCTCCACTGAAAATAAAATATATATATATATATCAATTTTACCATAAGTTTATCTTGCTATAATTGTCATTCAAGTCTCACAACAACAACTTGTTGTGCCAAAAAAAAAAAAACCAAGATGAAGTCAACAGTTTATATGTAACGTGTGAACCGAACCCAATGCATTGATCTTTAAAAAGTGGTTTAGAATTCTTTATGATATTCTTCTGATTTACTGTTGACGAATAAGCATCTGCTGCCACATATATATATATATATATATTAACACTGATTTATTTTATTTATATACGTTTTAATTTCTCTCTACTGGGTGTTTGTTGGGTTACAAAGTCTGTGTTGAAAGGCTCCATGGAACAGAAAAGCAGCAAAGAGTTTTCTCAACTGCCACAACCACACCTCAATGAATGAGATCTGTTTGTCCCTTTTACGTCAAGAAATCTTCATGTTACGTGAACTTCAATTTAACTTCCTCCAAACTTTAGGTTTAAAAAGACAAATATAAACAAGACTTTTCTTTTTCTTTCTCTGTTTCTGTTTCCATAAAATATTGATGATGAGAGTTTTTGACTGTTTTTCTTAACATTATTTCCAAGAAAACAAATGTTAGCATTACTTGCTCGATTTTCACATCAACTAACAATACCCTTGTTTTGTCAACCAAAAAAGAGTCACTCGTTCACTTATTATATCAATTATCATGACAAAGTATTAAGTAATACATAACTGTAATATTTTGTAACTGTGTTAACGTGATAAAAAAAAGTAATGTTAGGGAGATCACATTTATAAATCACCTTATGTACACGCCTCTAATAAAAATGTAGAATACGAATCTTACCTCTTTAAAAAAATATATGATTTATAAATATGATCTCTTTAGCATTTCCCGATTAGGAAATATTAACCTTCTAAAAAAAATTACTAGCACCGTTATACTCAACCCTATAGCTAAAATTTATGAAGACATTGACACACCAAAAAAAAAAAAACAACTAATTAGAATAAAGTCATTGGCATAAACCGACAACCAAATTGTGGTCCCATTGTTGGGAAATCCAAAATCCAATCAAAATAGCAGCTGGCAGCAGTTGAACAAGGCTGAGAACAATGTTGGCATTTGTTTTAAAATAAAAGGGCTACCAAATTATGATTATATGCCAATGCCATGCATGTATAGATGAGATTAGACTGCTATGCATGAGTTGGGTTTGGTTCTGTTAATTCTCTTGCAAGTTGTAGCTGCTGCAGACAGACAGACAGATCTCCCGACGCTTAGTTTTCTTGTGGTTTGATGGAATCATATACATACATTTATTTGCTGTCCACAGATTTTATCGAATAATCTACATATTGCTGCACTTTTTCCAGCTTTCTTGGGGCTGCATTTATTTTTATTGGCTGCATTTATTTTTATTTATTTAACCCCCTCTCTCTCTCTCTCTCTCTCTCTCTCTCTCATGCATGGGCCAGGCAGCTTAGCCACCTGCCAAAGCCAACCCCATCTCACTGGTCATGTGCCTTTTACACCACCCCTCATGTGACTCGAACTCTCAGAGCACAAAAGCTGGATTAACATGTACTTTCTTTCCTGTTCCAACAGATGTACAGGAAAAAGAAAAAGACAAACATTAATTACGTCATTACTTAGTCGGGTAATAGCTTAAAAGATTAGAATAAGTTTAGCGTTCGGTTTAAGTGTGTTAAAATTCAAGTCAAAATATTTTCTTTGTAATTATGAGGGCTTTATAGTTTTGTTTCGATTGACCATCAATAAATATATTCCTTTGTTCATAACGTACGATTATAAATATCACCAAACTTGGACTGAAATCTGAGATGTCAACTTTTTTTTTTTCTTGTTTATTTCATTAATTATTAATTGCATAAAAATTTGGTGGGATTATAAAGTAGTTGACATAACATCCAGCCAAACGTCATGATCATTCAATAAAATCAACACTAATTATTGGTGAAAAACATGTCTTGATAATCCCTCATTCAGCAGATTAGTCACACAAACAAAAAAACAAAAAAGCTGTTTCCCTATATTATTCAATAAACATCAATTAGTATTCTTTTAACGTACGGATTAAGAATTTCAGCTGCTTAGGATTCCATAGAATTCTACATGCATCTATGAGATCGAGTATGAAATTATGTTTACTCATTTTAAATTGAGTATTTGTTTCCTCCTTTTCTTGCTATGATTGGAAATCCTGTATTTTACATATCCATATCGTTTTGTTTATCCACTCTATCTCCATGCCACTTGAATTGGAGTTCATGACCATCAATATATATATTAAACAGATAAATTTGTCTTTTGCAATTGGGACTATATCCACACAAGTACACAAGGCAAAGTACAAAATTATACACAAGGAAGGACCATATTCATTGCCGCTAGCTAGAAGGTAAGGCTTCTTGCTTTGCATGACCTCTCCAATGTTTTCTTATTTTGAACCTATTTGTTGTCCAAACTAATTTTTATGGTTGGAAGGGTTTTAGAACCTTCTTGCTCACAAACTTATCACGTTTGCTATCTTTATCCTCAATCAACCATCATCACCCTTTGTTTTTTTTTTTTAATTCAAATTTAAATATACAAAAAAAAAAATATATATATATATATATATTAGACCATGGCCCCGCCAGATTTCATTGCCATAATCCTGAGAGGATAAGGGGCAAAAGGAGACAAGGGAGGGGAAAGGTAGATTGCAGCCAGATGAGGAAGGGTAGGGGTCGGGGGGCAACATTTGATATGTTGCATTCTAATGTCAATTGTCTTTCTTTATCACAACAAAATGCTCCTTCCATCAACATAGTTTATCACCACTTGTTACAATGTGAAAAACAAAATTATATTACTTAATTTATCCACCAAGATTTTCCGAAACACTTTTAAAGCTCACTTTTTTTAATGTAGTAAATTTTGGATGGATGATGTCATTTACTATGGAGGCACAACGACTAATATTCCCAAATTTATCATCCACTCTTCCTAT